CATTTTCCAATTACAGGACAACAACAGATTAATATGTATAGAGTACAAAATAATATAAAGAAAATGAAACGAAATTCTAACCTTATACAGTGTGTAACATAGTAGTACGCAAAAATCCATGAATAACAATAAAAGAAAATAATTAAATAAACAGATATACCAAAACATGTAATGCAATCTAAGGGGTAAACAAAAAATATTAACTAATACGTAATATAACTAACCATTTCGAGTAATGTGGAATGAAATAAGTCAATATTCGGGCAAATTGAATCAAATAATTTACATGCGTTTACAATAGGAGATTTGTATAAAATATTTGTGCGAGGTGAGTAGTTCTAGAGAATGAGACATTGAAACGAGTATTGTATGAAGGAATATGAAAATTAATGGATGACAACAAATAAGGTGCATCCAATTTATTGTGAATAATGTTATGCAGAAATGATTTTGATTGACACCGGATCTGCCATTTCATTCATTAACAAACATATCGCTACTATAGTTGCCGATACCGTCCGACCTCCGAAACATAAACAAGCCAAGAGCTTTACCAATCAACCCGTTAATATCCATAGCGCTTATATTGCTCCGATCACCATCCTGGAAACCGAAATTCCCCATTTAGTCCATCATGCCCCAGGTCTTGGTTATGAAGTACTCCTTGGAATAGATTTTCTCTCCAGAACCGAACTCCATTTCAACATGAAAACCGGCAATTTATTCCTTGGCAGTCTCCTTGTTCCTCGAGTTAGTCCCGTTTCTCAACAATGTACTCCCTGTTCCGTTATTACCCCGCTAACCGCCGTCGAAGAAACCGAATTACGAGATTTTCTTCAAACCGAATTACCACCATTCGAAACCCTGAATGGCTGCACCGACTTAATCGAACATGACATCAAACTCCGAGATCCCACACCGATTAAACAACGATACCGTCCCCAAAATCCCCGAATGTAAACCCTCGTTAATGAAGAAGTCGACCGTATGCTAACCGAGAACATCATAGAACCGTCCGAAAGTCCATGGAGTTCACCGATTGTCATGGTCCGAAAGAAAGATGGCAAGATGCGTTTCTGTATCGACTTCCGTAAAGTCAATGAAGTCACCGTTAAAGACGCCTATCCTCTTCCGTTTATTAATGGGATTTTAGACCGCCTCCGTCAAGCCCGTTACATTTCAAGCATCGATTTAAAACAAGGGTATTGGCAGATACCGCTTTCCAAAATTAGTCGCCCCATCACCGCTTTCACCATAGCCGGCCGAGGACTGTTTCAGTTCAAAGTCATGCCGTTTGGTTTACACTCCGCCCCAGCCACTTTCCAGCGTCTTTTGGATCGTGTCATTGGACCCGAAATGGAACCCCGGGCGTTCGCCTATCTGGACGATATAATCGTGCTGGGAAGAACGTTCCACGAGCACTTAGACAACTTAAGGGAAGTTTTCCACCGACTCCGATGGGCTAGTCTCAAAATCAATCCTGAAAAATGCCAATTTTGCCGTCCGTCTCTGAAGTATTTGGGCCACGTCGTGAGTGATGGAGGTCTACAAACCGATTCAGACAAAGTAGCCGCCATCCAGCAAATACCGACTCCGCACAACATCAAAGCCGTCAGAAGATTTCTTGGGGTAGCATCTTGGTACCGCCGTTTTGTTCCGAATTTTTCAAACATCGTATCCCCACTGACCAAACTCCTCCGAAAACACCAAAAATGGAGTTGGGGCGAAGAACAAGAACAAGCTTTCGAAACCCTGAAGAACCGTCTAACCAACGCACCGATACTGTCTTGTCCTGATTTCGACCGACCGTTCGTTTTACAAACCGATGCTTCCAACACTGGACTTGGCGCAGCTCTGACTCAGCAAATCGATGGAGATGACCGAGTGATTGCGTATGCAAGTCGCACCTTAACATCCGCCGAGACAAATTATTCCGTTACCGAAAAAGAATGTTTAGCCATTGTCTGGGGAATTGAGAAGATGAGACCGTACCTGGAAGGCTATCATTTCACCGTACTATCCGACCATCAGTCTTTACGCGGGCTGCATTCAATCAAAAGTCCGACCGGCCGTCTAGCAAGATGGAGTATTTTCCTGCAGCAGTATGACTTCGAGATCAAGTACCGAAAAGGAATCCTTAACCGTGTTGCCGATGCTCTTTCCCGTGATCCTTTACCTCATACGGAGACCGACACTACCGAAACTTCCGAAATACCGATTTTTGCCCTTGAATTACCCGAATGCTCTTGTAGTAGGGGAGCTAACACGAAATCCACTGAACGAGAATGATCACAATTTTAACTGATGGTGTTCCATTTTGCCCTATCAGAGTATGCTAAAATCGATCGTCTGCCGCCTCAGGTCATACGACTTAAGGCGCTGCGGGTACTTCTTGTGGTACCAATTCTGAAAGGTTGTTTTTCGAGAAAATAACTTATACACCAAATGAAAACGTTGATAATAGCTCTTAAAAAAATATTTAAAAAAATCGCGTACATTTGATAACTCCGTAAAAAAACAATTCTTAGTCGGTTTTTCACGAACTTTCTACGAATATAACTAGGTTATGGTTGAACGAATGAAGCTGATTTTTTTTACAGAATGATGATAGGTACTACTAATGACTTAACGGTGTTTCGTTTTTAAATTTTTTCTCTAATTACAAGATTATCTTATTATCTTAACATTATAAGATATCTTATAATTAGAGAAAAAATTTAAAAAAGAAACACTCTCATAGTCATTGGCTGTACCTATCATTAGTCTGTAAAAAAAAATCAGCTTCATTCTTCCAACCGTAACCTAGTTATATCCGTAGAAAGTTCGTGAAAAACCGACTAAGAATTGTTTTTTTACGGAGTTATCAAATGTGCGCGATTTTTTTAAATATTTTTTTAAGAGTTATTATCAACGTTTTCATTTGGTGTATAACTTATTTTCTCGAAAAACAACCTTTCAGAATTGGTAGCACAAGAAGTACCCGCAGCGCTTTAAGTCGTATGACCTGAGGCGGCAGACGATCGATTTTAGCATACTCTGATAGGGCAAAATGGAACACCATCAGTTAAAATTTTGATCATTCTCGTTCAGTGGATTTCGTGCTAGCTCCCCTACTATTGGTACCGAAATAAATTTAATGCCGTAACCGACCGACCCGATACCGTACCGGATTATTGCATCCGTAACAATAATTTGTACCGTCATTTTCATTCTAACACATTAAAAGATGAAACCGATCCGTGGAAACTTTGTGTTGCCAAACCGAACCGAAACCGTATCTTGCATGAAAATCATGATTCACCTACCGCCGGACATTTAGGTGTCACCAAAACCGTAAACAGAATTTTAGATCATTATTATTGGCCAGGTATGTTCCGAGATGTAGCTAAGTATGTCCGTCACTGTGAATCTTGCCAACGGTACAAGGTATCTCAACAGCAAGCCGCGGGGAAAATGCAGCTATATCCTAACCGTTTACCCTGGGACATTGTCAGTACCGACATTGTAGGCCCACTTCCCCGTTCCTCGAAAGGAAACCAATATCTTCTGGTTTTCCAGGACCGTTTTACCAAATGGGTATGTTTTAAAGCCGTTCGTAAAGCCACCGCCGCTACTGTTTCTCAGGCTTTATTTGAGGAAGTTGTTACACGTTTTGGTACACCGAGGATTTTGATTACCGATAATGGAGCCCAGTATGACAGCCGAAATTTCAAAAATCTCCTCTCCGAACTTGGTATTACCCACCGTTTCACACCGCCGTATACTCCGCAGGCCAATCCCGTCGAACGTGCCAACCGAACTTTGAAAACCATGATTGCGCAGTTTTGTGAAGAAAATCACCGGAGTTGGGATAGGTTTTTACCTCATTTCATGATGGCTATGAATTCCTCCGTCCAAGAATCAACCGGATTTTCTCCCGCCTACTTGAATTTTGCCCGTGAACTTGTCCTTCCGAATACTGTCCACCGTCAGCAAGAACCTCCGAATCCCGATACCCCTACCGACCTGACCGCCGAAATTCCCGAACACCGTAACCGTTTAGACAATCTTCAGGATGTGTTTCAGCTAGTCGCTAGGAATATAGGCCGAGCGTTTTCAAAGCAGGCGCATCATTACAACCTCCGACACCGAGAATGGAAACCGCATGTGGGTGATTTGGTACTCCGGAAAGACCACCCTCTGTCCAAAGCTGCCATGGGGTATGCCGCGAAATTGACGCCGAAGTACTCCGGCCCATATGTCATCCACAAAGTGGAGTCACCGGTGGTATTCACCCTGAAACATCCGTCCGAGAGGACCAAGATTCCGAGAGTCCACGTTAAAGATCTGAAACCCTATCGACCATAGGGTAACCGGTATTGATTTGACAATGCCCCGTAGTCCGTTCCGTCCCGGAGGGGAAGAATTTATGTGTTACACCGCTGTGACCGACCGTATAAGTTGGGAGTTTGTTCTTATATTTTTTTAGAATGTCCGACTCCGAAATTGAGGTGTTGAATTGGGTGGAGACGTTGGAGGGGGAAGAGTGCCCCAGGACTGTAAGCAACACGAAGGCGGAGACCTGAGCGGTAGGCACACAAGCCTCCCCCCGCGCCACCCGTTCGGTGGGAACCCAGACCGGCTCCGAGGAAGTGACCGCCCCAACTACGCTACGAGGACGAGTGGAGGAGCGCCCAACTCTGCTGCGGGTGACCAGTGCCAGGGACCCCGAATTTAGTGTAGGAAAGTTAGACGTCAAGGTTGAAAAAATTATATACAAGCATTTTTTAATGGAAACGTACCAGGAATAACTTCTTAAACAACATAGTAAAAGTCCCATCAAAAAGGACTATGGCAAGTTGCGAAAATCGGCCGCCATTTTGTTTTTGTCATTTTATTGCAAATATCTCAAAAATTATGAGGTTTATGATGAAAAGTCAAGAGAAAACTTTTTTGTAAAATGCAAAAATACACTTGATGTGATATATCAAAAGGATCTATTTAAAATTTAACAAAATTATTCATATGAAAACATCATTTTCGTCCTCGTCATTTTCAGGTATGATGCAGGAATTGCAGCAATCAATTCCTAAGCATTGGCCACACTTGGAGGAACATCTTAACCCTAGTTTTTTGCAGGAGCATGATTTGCCACATGACGCTTCTTTGCAGTTGCAGAAAACCATTTTCAATATGTCAGGAGGAGCAATTTCTTTTGTTGCGGATGTAGGAACCAGATGCCCCTCTCTATCTCGTTGCCAACCATAGGCTAATGGATTCAACTTGCATCCTATCCACTCTTGTACCTAAAAAGTTAATAAAATTTTATTATTTCGGCTAAGTAATGAATTAGAGAACATACCTGATAATAGACTCTCAAAACATGTTGTACAGCAGCATCTTTGGTTGGGGGAAGCGCTGCCAAATTAAAGTTTGCAGACAGACCTTGACGAGATGTTATTCTATTATACAAAGTATATCTTAACGTGTCAATATCTTCTTTGCTTTTCTTGGGCCTATATAACTTTGTAATGAATTGTACACCTGCTTCTATTAACTGATTCTTATCCGAATTTTGTTGATAAAATATTTGAAGTCTTTCGCATAAAGAAATGTCTTTCTTTAACCACTGTAAACAGAGTTTTTTGCTTTTTTTGAATATAAACGAGGTCGTATCACAACCTGATACAGCATGAAGAAACAATATGTGCTGTTTAACATGCCCTAGTTTTTCTTGAAGCTCCGATATGTTCGTTGCTTTATCAGCTTTAGCAGCTTTTCCTGGCCGAAGTAAAAACATTTTATCATATTCTGAATGATGAATCAACAGAACGGCAATATCTGTATCCTCAGATACAACTACGATTGGTCTACCAGAACTTGAAAGTTCTACTGCAGTTCTAACGATTAAATAGTCTGCGTCACTTTCAGCCACTTTTACCTTTAAGACTGTTTTTTCAAATCTAAACTTTAAAAGCTCTATCAGTTTCTGTTTGTTATTATTATTTCGTAAAAATTCTTCTTGTGGTGTAACAATTGTATTCTCCAACTTTACTGATATTTCTAAAGCATGTTGTGATCTGATCTGTTGCAAAGCATCCTTTGTTGAAAAATTATCTGAATTGTATCCATCAAAAACAATTACACAGTCCTGACCATAAACATGTTTAACATAATTAACATATTGGTCGCAAATTTGGTTAAACGTGGCAGGCTTCTGCCATAAAACTTTATGTAAGAGAAAACCGCCATCAATTATATGCATTGCATTTTGCTCTGTGCCCGAAGTAGGTGTAGTTAGAGCATCAAACTCTTTGAAGAGAAGGCTTTTTGTTCCTTTTCTTAAGACACCATCTTTAAACAGTGATAGCGGATATGGAGATAATTCGAACCTAAAACAGTCTTTTATTTCTTCTGGAGTTTTGTTTGAGCAAATAATTCTATTAAATAATTGCATAGGAGACACGTTCACGTAGTTGCTATTAATTTTAATGCTACTACTCATTTGTGAAAAGTTCTTAATCCGATCTGTTCGCTTGCACTTAATATCTGTGAATAATTTGCCTACATTGTTGGTGAGTAATTTTCTTCCAATTTCATCCGCCAAATCGCAGTTTATATCGTGTTTAGCTATACGTCCAGAGAACAGTGATGTGAACTCCTTGCATTTAAAAGGGTTGTATTCCTCTAGCCAATCTAAAATTTTTCGCAAGTCAGTTTCATCCCGTTGTTGGCGTGAACGACTTAACTCTATATGTTGTTCAGAAGAGACTGACTTACATCCCAGAAAATCTTCCATAGCTGTTGATACAGGCATACAAACTGACATACCTGCTATCCATCTGGCCAAAGAAGAATTAGTGAACCCACGTCCATGGGTTAAGCCTCCAGTGGTTTTGATTGACCTCATTAAATTCTGCTCGATGACCATATCGGTCCAAGTACCGGACCAGAAGTTATTGGTTCTTCTCACAGTAAACATTCCCTCAGAATCAAATTTTTCATAATTTTCGGGACTCATAGTATGAAGTTTCTGAATCTGTTGTAAATAAATGTGAGTACTTTTAGCATAATTGTTATGACCTGTTGCGTAGAATATTGGGATCATCAGTTTTAAACAGTGAGTATGAAGAGACCAGTTGCCTGATCTTTCTGCTCTAACAAACAACTTAATAATATTGACCAATTTAAAATAATTACACCATAACCGTGCGGTTCGACTGCTTTGAGAGAGCTCACTAATTTTAAGATCAATTTTTTCCAACATGTTCTCGATCAACTGATTAATTTCGACTTCATTTGCTAAAGGCCGATTATATAAAATACAAATTTCCTCAATATTGTCATCAGTTAGAACTATGTCAGAGAGTAGCAGTAAGCCAAGAGCTTCCTGTGTAAGAAAATGGCATCTTAGAGCTCGTGCATATGCGTGACCCGAAATCATGTGTGGAACAGTATTCTTTGCATATATCCTTTGCCAAAGTTCTTCGATTCCACTACCGGACATTATATTCCCAATGCTTCCCATAAATGACATAAGAGTATGGAAGCCGCCGAGTCGAACTATAACTTTAGACAAGATACTACTTGAGTTGGATGCTTCTACGATGTCCACAGCTTTTTAAAAAAGCGGTTGATCAAAGGTGACAATACAAGGTTTATTATACGAGCGGCATTTTTCAGCTGCAAACAATAGTGCTGTGTGTATAGTACTTAAGTTTGAAGGGTCCAAGTTTATGAAGGGCAGAGGTGTTATAGTGCTAGTCGTAAATTCTATATCATATGAGACAGAAGACATATATCCACTCCATGATACTTTTTTATGGAGATATTTAGTACCAAGTAACCAAAGTGCATCTAATCTTGCTGCAATTTTTTCAACTTCAGGTTTCAAAAATTGTATTTCCGGCATTGTGACTGTTTTGAGACCAGACTTTGCGGGTTTATTGTAAAACTGAAAGAGATGCAAGAAGTTAAAAAAACTCTATTTCTCTTTATTTTTAACCATAACAATGCTTCTTTCCCTATTTATACAGGGGAAAGCAAAAAAATATATATTTAATAAATCAAAAACTAACCTGTATTGGTAAACTTCCGAAGTGTCCAATTTCGCTGGCTTGGATTTTTTGCTTAGGTCTTGGAACCTGAAAATTTTCTGTTGCTGGTTCAGGAGTAATGCATATGATACCGCCCATAGAGTGAAAAGTCCCATGTCCATCGATTGTTCTGGTGTTGACGTCGGCGTTATCAAAAACGAACTGCAAAAAACTGTCCGCTGGGATATTTTCCTGAACATTTTGAATTGCTGAACTTTCAAAATTAAGACACTCTGAATAAGAAATGGAAACGCCGATAGTCGACAAAATATCTATCAAATTTTTTGAGCCATATTTCCTATGTAGAAGTGTTCCGAGGCCAAACATTGTGGGTGATACGAAGGATCTTACTCTAACTAAAGAAATGATAAAATTTTCCAACGCAGCTACCTTTGTTGTGTATGCAGCTAAGTTTTTCTTATCTTTGAGAACCAACTCGTGAAAAAAAGATTTAAGAGAATCAGGAAATTCCTCTGTTCCTCCAGTTTTAATATCATCTAAGTTTGGATAATTCTGCAAATTGCATGTCATACCTCTAATATCCTCTCTTAAAATTTTAGCTGCGGCAGTTACAATTTTTGCACGATCAAAGGTTTTATCCTTTGACCACTCTTCGCTTAAAAGTTTTTCACAGTTTCCTCTAAAACTGACGATACTTTGTTTTCCTGATAGAGAAGATATTATTATACTATCTTTATACTTTTTCTTCAATCTCATTTTCAAGTTTTTTTCAGACCATGGCTGAAAACTCTCTGGTAAAAGGGTAATCATCATTTCAATTAACTCTTTAATTGCAAACTGACAATTCTCGGAATCGTTTTCAATAAAATTACAAATTTTTTCAAAAGCCTCTTCTAGAGGAGGATTTACCGGTCGGCCTACATGATCCTGAGATTTATCTTGCATAAATTTATTAAAGCAATTCACATGATAAATCGCTTCTGCTGCAACCAGGTCTATTTGATTATTTATTTTATTAAATATTTCCAGCCCCCACTTGTCATTTCTTTCATTGCAGCGGTTAATTATCTTATTTTTAAATTCTAAAGTGCAGACCTGGCGAAACTCAACATTTTTCTTATATTTCTTAATGGCTTGTATATCAATGTATTCGTCGCATAAAAAACAATGCTTCTTAAAATCAAAACCTTTACTGATCGATCTCAGTAACTTAGATGTACTTGGGGCGTTACTTTTTAGTTTTAATAAATTGGTAGGGTGCGTATATTTATTTCTACATTCTTTGTGTACAACAACGCTGCACACATTTGTTAAATTTTGCCACAAACTATCGTTACGTTCCTTACTAGCCCTTATTATTGTTTCAATTCCTTTCTTGGTAACTTTCACTACATCTTGGCCACTTTTATCGCAAATCACACAAATAAGTTCATCAGCCATACCTCTAAAGAGTCTGCAAACAGGTTAAAATAGAAATATTAAGCGTCGCAAGTTCCAAACAAAAACAATAATTTTATTATTCACACGAAAACCAAGCCGGAAACAAACGTATCGAGCGCGTGAAAAATGACAATAAATCAAAATGCTTCATGTCGCAACTCGCAAGGTCTAGTCAGCTGACGCGGCGTTGCCAGTTCTGATATCGGTACCTAAATGTCAGAAAAACATACTAATAAAAAGAAGTTTTATTCGAGGCTATGACATTAAAGTAATTAACTAAATACTACAATCAGATTTTTTTTTATTAATAACTGTTAATAATATTTTTTGTGCATTTGAATATAAGTTGAGAGAGGGGTGTCAAAACTATATTAGTCGATGTATTTTTTCATTTAAAAAAATAAATTTCTTTTGAAATTTATCCGTAAACTTAATAGTTTTTGAGATACAGGCATTAATTTGAAAAAATCAAAATGGCGGCCATTTTTTTGCAACTTGCCATTACCAGAATCTACGGGACTTTTAGTATGTCATTTAAGACCATATTTTAAGTACTTTCCCGCTAAAAAAAAACATTTGTATATAATTTTTTCAGAAGTTTGGACAAAATTCCGACAACTTGACTACACTAATTGGCGGTTCACTTGTGTTGGAGGTGCGGGAGGCTCGGGCATTGGCGGAGAGCATGCCCGGCCCCACAGGCCACCATTTTTTGCTCGAGGTGCGGCGTAGTGGGAAGACTATCGGCGCGGTGCCCGTGCCGCCCTAGGATACCTGAGACCCGGGACCCGAAGGGGCATTTTGCCCTGGGGGGGCCACCACAATAACCATGTTATCCTCGAAAAAAAAAGAGGAATAAACCGATCAGTATAGCAACCGAATTTCAATATTCCGTCCTGTTTTCCCGTCCCCGAGTTTTGTGTTTTAGGATACCGTGCCGAAAAGAGTTCCACTCTTTTCTTTCCGAAGATAGGGGAGTGTGTAACGAAGCACCCGGAATTTCCCCATTTAGTTTGCCGTTTACAAGGACCACCCTGTATAGTAAGGATTGGTTTGGGCTTCGTTACGCAAGAAGACCGTGATATTGAGCATTTTCCGCAATGCCATGGAGATACCGTAATTAATTAGTCCGCCTACGACCGCTCCTGTTGGAATTTTGGAATTATTTTTGTAACCACCGAAGGATGTTGTCCTGGCGAAGATGAGGGACAATTAATATTCTTTGGTTTCAGCGCCGTTAATTATTTATAAGATGTTTTAGATTCCCATAATAAGTAAAATCAAGGATAGAACGAGTTCAAATCGAGTTGTTTACAACTTTTGCAGTCCCGTCCGTATGCCTGCATGTTGCGATAAGAGTGTTAAAGCGATAGCGCCGTTTGAGAAGAAAAAGTCCAAAGGAGCTAGTTGCAGATTGGATTGATGAGTACTTAGGTTTGATTACGCTTAATTAGGTAAGCGCTGTTAATTAATGCCATGTTAATGGGCAGTAGTAAACCTTGTCAGAAACCGTCGAGAGAGGTGTCCACAGAGGCGCTGTAATTTTTCTAGTTGTTTGCAAGTTGTCCCAGATTTTTAAGATAATCACAGGAGCCGCAATTAATTAAAAACCGAATTATTTTCTACCGGGCTCGGTACGAGCACCGCCCGGCTTTGGAAATTCCCTGTTCCACTTCTACCAAAATTGGTTTCCTTTAAAAGGAAAATGCTCATTTTGGGAGGGATCTTTCTGCTTCATACTTTCGAGTTGTAAGTACGCCTTTTGATTTTTCTAATTTGCGAAACCGTATCATTCCGAATCCACCGAACCCCTTTTGCTTTACCCTTTTACCGTTTGAGCGACCGTAAGTCAATCCGTTATCCTTTCCGTTTGACTACCGTTTTGAGTTTACTTTTTTTTACCTACCGTAACTTTTACCCCGTTCCGCTAAGTTTCATTACCGCCTTAAGCTTACCGTATTTTCTATCGATAGTGTTACCACCGTTTAATTAATATCACCGTTACTTAACCAAGGTAAGCGCTTAATTTTCAATTACGTTGATTAAAGGGGGGGAAGTATATTCTGTTCTCCTTGTTTTTTCCTCTTTTCGTTCCCCTAGACACCGCTAATTGATTTGTGCTTTATTGCTTTATTCCCTTTAGGAAATTTACCGTCAGGGCCGTCGGCCATATTTTGTTTTAGATAATCCGGAAGTGACCGCCGCCATTTTGTGGTGAACCCTGACCGATCCCTGGTTATTCCGTTCTCCACTAGAGGATACCCGGAGGCTTTCCACCCCGTCCGCGAAGACCGCACCGCCCCTTTTCCCAAGACTTCGGGGGTGCTGAGTGAAGTCTTGGTGGCGCCCGAGAGACCGACCGACCGTTTACTTTGTGAATTGAATCGTACAATTATATAATTAGTCATCCATTAAAGGAACTTGAAATAATATTGTGCTTTCATCTTTTAAGGTACCGGTTGTGCACGAGCGAAGGGGGAAGTTCGTCGCACGATTATAAAATATTTTGAAACTGTAGTTGGTGAAATTGCATATCTGAACGATAACTCTTTAAAATAGCCCCGTATAATGCTTTGGTTTAACATCATTCCCTTTAACCGATATGTTAAAGTGTAACTTATGGCCGTCTGCATCTATCTTGAAATAAGCCGAGCTCACGTAAGAGCTTAAGTAGTTAAGCGGGATTAGAGTTCAGTTGTAATGCACCACGCTTTTTTTCAAGCAAGCTTTGTTAAACTATGTTTGGCAACATTGCATTTTTACAAAAATATTGTAAACATAATCTTATTCACTGTTTGCTTTTATTTTTTAAACAATTACTTTTGTTCCTAAGTCAGTTAAGTAGGAGTAAAGAAAAAGTTAATTTTTTAAGCGCCGAAAAACATCACCTTTTGACAATAACTTTTATAGATGATATATTGCTGCCTATATTAGATGAAATAAAATTTTACACGTAACATAATAATTTGTGGTCGTCCACAACATTCATGTTGCTTGGAGACCACAACGTTCCAGTACTACGAGGGAGATTTTGTCTCTATTAATTTTAATACCTTTTACTTTGAGGGTTTGCCGAATCGTATTTACAGTTTCCCTACAAATGAATATAACATCTTTTGAAGGGACAAACCCCCTTTGTCCTCGTTTGTCCTACATGTTCAGAAAATAGAGACAAGTCCCAAAATCACCACAAAACTGACCCAAACAGAAAATAGTGCACATACGCCATCTACCAGCAATCGTAGTATGTAATATTGTCAACATAACTGACCAGCGCAATGGCCACTTCCGCCACGTGCTGGGCTATTCTCCACCATCGTTACATTCTTCTCTTCTCTTACTTTTTACTCGTACTCGTAGGGATAAAATGATGTATTGTAGTAGAAAACCAAATTGAATTCGTGACAATACAATGCTGTTTATGAAAACAAAACTTCAATTTTTACTAAACGAAGATAAATTTTATATATTTAATAAATTAAACTTATGCAAAGCGCAAATGCGTAAACTGTAGGTGCACAAATATGTATGTATGTATTTTCATGCAAACAAAATCAAATTTTAATTATAATTTAATGATAATCCAAATCTAGTGTATAAAAATAATATATTTAAAAAATAATTCTAATACTAAAACTACAAATTCATTTACATATTTTTAAAACAATTAATAATTAAATATTTTTCAAAATTTTCAATTAAAAATTTTTGCCTTCGGTCGCTGTACATGTGTTTTGAAATAGAAAAAGATCTTTCTACATCAACAGATGTTATTGGGGCGTTTTTCAATTTTACTATTATTAGCGGATCAATATTAAAATTAGGAATCTGCTCTACATCAAGAATTTTGGAAATATTCTTTATCTGTAAAAACCCTGAATTTTTTTCAATCACATTTTCAAATTTTTGTAACACAGCGGTACCTACTTCTCCTTGAACTATTTTGCAATAATTTTGGAAATTGTCTACTAGCTTTACCGATTCTGTTAAGGACATGCCTTCCTTTTCTAAATTTTTTATTATTTCTGGCACAAAACTATAATGTGATTTAATAAAAGCCAATTGTTGCATTAGTTCAGAAGATGTTACTAATTTTTGAGATTTCTCTAACGCAATAGAATTTTTATCTTTAATGTCCAATACAACTTTTGCAATATTTTGAAAATTGTCTGCATAAAAAATAGCCGCTTTAATCAAAGTACCCCATCTGGTTAATATGGGTTCCGGTGGCAACTTTGTATTTGGAAGAGATTCTTTGTAAAGTTGAATTCTTAGAGGGGCCTTTAAAAATACCTTTTTTATATTATTAATTAAATCATTTACTAAAGGAAATCGTAATCTAATCTCTTCAGCTTCTCTATTAACACCATGAGCTAAACAAGTAATGTGCATTAAATTATCGTAAAATATTTTTAAATTTTGGGCAGCTTTGATCATGTAGGGAGCCGCATCAGATAGCATTAACAAAACGCGTTCTGAAGGAATTGTACCTGGTAAATAAAAGTGAGACAACCCTTCTTGAATACATCGTGTAATAGTCACATTATTTGTTTTGTCCAATTGTTTAGAGTATATCAAATACGATTTACTACTTTTATCTTCATGAAGGATTCCAATTAACATATTTATTCTTGGCGGTTCTGATGATTTGTTTCTTTGTCTTGGTAACTTTATCTTGTTGTTTTATTGATCCT